TGAGCAGCAGGTGAATGAGGGAAGCTTCATCTCTATTTGCAGCCGTTCCCCAGCAGCATCACTGCCTCAGCTCCACCTCAGATCATCAGGCATTAGATTTTCACTGGAGCACCAGTCCCTGGTGCCAGAAAGATTGGGGACCATACAATTTCTGTGCCATACAATTTCACTTATATATGGAATCTAAAGAACAAAATAAACAAACAAACAAAATGAAGACAGACTCATAAACACAGAGAACAAACTGGTGATTGCCAGATGGGAGGGGGATTGGGGACTGGGTGAAAAAGATGAAGGGATTGAAAAGTACAAGTTGGTAGTTACAAAATAGTCACAGAGGTGTGAAGTACAGCATAGGGAATATTGTAATAACCATGTATAATGCCAGGTGAGTACTAATTGGGAGATCACTTTGTAAATTATGTAAATGTCTCCCACTATGCTGTATACCTGGAACTAATATAAAATAATATTGAATGTCAACTCTATTTGAAAAATAAAATAAACTGATTTAGAGTAAGCTTGTTAAGAATGCTTTCATTTATTTTATGATATGTGAAAATTTTGGAACATTTTGACCTAGAAATTATATTTAGATGACTATTAGAAAATCACCGTATATAGAAGAGACTACATGTAATTAAATAATTATGCCCCCTCTAGAGGCACAAACGTATTTTGAAACACTACATTTAAATATTTACCTAAAACTGGTTCAGTTTTATGAACAGTTCCAAAACATCCAAGGCCTGGTAATTCACACAAAATTGTTCCTGATTTTATCGTACTTGAAATGTTGGTTAAAGAAATTATTGATAATGAAAATACTTTCATAATAAAACCCCACCTAAAGAAAAGATAATGAAATAACTGCGATTTTTTGAGACAGAGGTTGTTGATGCTCAAGTCAAATTCCTTTGAGTTCTTTCCTACTTCTATGTTGCCCTCCTCAGCTTCTGTGTGCTTTTGTTTCTCCACCTGTGATTCTCATGGGAGCCTGCCCTCGACCTCCAGGTGCCACTTGTCCTGCTGGCTTACATTCCAGTACCTTGAGTTTACATTCTCCTAAAAACGAAATGTATAATGGGCCCTGAACCCATTGCTGATTGGTACAAGCCCAGTTTCCTTGCCATGAGTTGGGACAAATTCTGAGGCATAATTTACACTCCTGAATTTACCTGAAGGCTCAGACAGAAATAACCTCTGTGAGACTAAAATCATACTGACTTTGTCCTTGTCATTTCCTGAGGTTAAACCACTAACACAGAGATTCCTGATTTGAAGTCAGCTTTTGTATATGGCCTTATCTTAAATTACCACTACTTGAGGGAAAAATATTATTTTATTTAAAAGAGCACCTGGTGACATTCATGAAGAGTAATGAGAAGAACAGCACCATTTTGAAAGAATAATAATGCTGTTGCCCAAAGCTTTTTGAGAACTTCAGAACTATTTTACAAATCACACAAAAAACAATGACATTGTGGCCTTACACATATTAATTTTTACCGTTACATTGTAGGATGGGTTACATAAGGAAAACTTTTCAGTTGATAGCTAACATCTTCAGTGGAAGGTTTTATCTTTGGGCTTGGCACTTCTTGGTCATGTCCCCAGGTTTTGTTATTCACCTTATTTGGGGGATCTGCAATTTTCTCCTCACTGAACAGGGAACAAGATTACAGTGAGGACATAAAGGATAAAATTCTATCAGCTGTTATTATATCAACATACATTATATAAAAACTAAGTAAGAATGAACGGATTAGAGAACTACTAAATTGGGAGGGGGCAGAGCATTAAAATGTTTGTTCATTCTAATCGAAGTACTAATGCTGGATGTGTTGCAACAATGGATTCTAACACTACCTGCAGAATCCAACTGGGGGCCAACAGATAGAATTCTCGAATGTGAATGTCATTTTTGAATTTTCCTGTCTGATAAATGAAACGTCTTAGCATAGTTAATAATCAACCTCTGGAACCTAGATAATATGTTTACAGTCTCATAGAAAGTAGTTTAGTGATTAAATGATTGATAATTATATTACCCATAAATTACTATTTCTAAACTAAATAGGACTGCCAAATAATCAACCTCTTTTTAAGTGACAGTGAGAATTGCGAGCAAACAAGTTCAGATGTTTGTAGCATGCTAATTAAATTAAATGATTTATTTAATTTTGGCAGGAGTGGTGAGTTGCCCTTAACCAGGATTTGAGAGTGAGTTGCGAAGTATTCCAGCTGCTTTATTAAATTTGAATGCTTTGAATATGAGTTTTAAAGGTACAGACCAACTATGCCACCTTTGCAGCAGATTTTTAAAGGAGACTTGATTAATGTTTCCTACTAAGAGCCTCTATTTTGTTTATCTCCCCTATGTAAAAATAGGTTGAAAATTATACGTTTAGTGATGATGTTCACAGCAGCATTAGTAACAATAGCTAAAATCTATGAATAAGCTAAATGTCCCGCCAACATTCCCGAGGCTGAACTGGAGGGTGATGATGGGGCTGTAGGGAGAGGATTGTTAGCTAAAAACTGTCAAGATGTAGCTTTCGGCTGAATGTCACGTCACTACTGGTATCACAGGCCAGCTTGATCCTTTCCAGACAAATCCAATGAATTGTTTTTCCTCCAAATTATGAATATCTATAAAACTTACTTTGAGTGTCCAGCACTTTGGCAGCAGACACAGTCTAAACTGAAACTAGTGGAAAACAAAAGGACTAAAAGGTGTTGTAGCACTTCCTTCTTTTATAGTTAGTACAATTGGGATAAAACTTTTGTTAAAACTTCTAAAAATCTACTATTAGCCCAACAAAGGAAGTAGTAGTTATACACCATAAAAATCTGTAGCAACAAATATTATTCTGATATGAAATCTATACATCAAACACATTTTGTGTGGAAAACCCGACTTCAGTTGCCTCGTCTTTATCTACTGGGAAATATCACACACACACACACATGATAAAAGGTCAGGTATAAAGCTGCACTGTCAATGGAACTTTCTGACGGTCAAATGTTTTTTGTGCTGTCCAGTATGGTAGCCAATGTGGCCATTGAACACTTGAAATGTGGCTAGTGTGACTGAAGGAACTAACTTTTAAATTATAGTTAATTTAAATTTAGTCACCAGAGACTAAATTTAACAATATACCTCCTGATAACAATATACCTCCTAATTTCTCTTAGGAATTTCAGAACTTAAGAGATGGAATCAGAGCTTAGACTTGAATGGATAAAACGAACAGTTGAAACTTCAAGAACTTATCCTATATAAAGTCGCCGTTAAGAATCTTGAGAGCAGAGAAATGATGAAGCATAGCAGTAATGAGCTAGCAGCCATCCTACAATTCATTTAACATAGCAGGGTGCTTCAGAGTATATGGATTCTGATAGAAAAATGGACAAAGGAATATAATGGGAGGACACTGTAAAAGCAAACATAAGACTCTTTAAATATATAAATGCTCAGCTTTAATTATTGAATTAGGGTCAAGTTAGGCTATGCTGCCATAAGAATGAACACAACAGAGCTGAACACAATGAAGTTTATTGCTCAATTGTACAGAGACTGTGCAGCTTTCTTCCATCTTGTAGCTATGCTATCTGGAGCATTGGCCTCCATTGGCATTTCAACTCTTGACTGCCTTGGGGGGTAGTAACATATCACTCTGCTCTCATTCTATTGGCAAGAATAAGTCCTAAGATCTATACCTAAATGTGTAAGGTACATAGTTTAGCTGTTATGCCCAGGGGAAAAAAAAAAAGCTACGCTGTATACACATGGCTTTGCCTCTGCCATACTCAGAAGTGCAAAAAAACCCTAGATTACAGTATCGTTTTCCCTATCAGACTGGCAGAGCAGAATCCCTGCCAATACATATAATTTTTAACTGACAATCTACTTCTAGGAATTTATCCTACAGATAAGCTAAGAAATATGCATCTTTATAAAGCAATGGATTGGAAAAAATATTCGTCAGCAGGAGCCATGCTAAGCAAATTGTGATATATCCATATAATACCATGCCATCATAAACAAGAAGAAACTCTTTGTGAACTGATAAAAATCAGATATCTAACTAAATGAAAAAAAAATCAACTATAGGCTATCCTACACCATTTGTATCTTATGAAAATTCAAAAAACTAATCACATCGCCTGTAGAACTAGGGGATAGGAAGACTTACTACAGACCCTACGTATCTTGAATTTTTAGTTATGTCAATGTATTACTTAACTCAAAATTTAGTTTTTAAGGATATGGAGACTGCCACTATCTGTGTAACTGAGAAAGTTGCTTAATCTCTCATTGACAAAAAGAGAGTTAAATAACTACCTACATCTTGTGGGGTTTTGAGAAACCAATTGCTCCATTTCTAAAGAAAATTCTATAATCAATTTGGGTATGTTTGAATCACATGGCAATCCAGAAATATTAACAGCTTGTGGGGCAGTCAGGGAAAGCCTCTCAGGTGATATTTAATACCTGGGGAGTTTCCTCATCCCAAAAGAATTAGGAAAAGTGCTTGACATATCTGAGGAACAGCAAGGCTGGGATGAGATGGAATGACAGTAGGACATGAGGTCACTTGGTGAAAATAGGATCGTGGAAGCTATTTATAAGACTTGAGTACTAATTAAACACAGGAGTGACACATTGACCTAACAGAATTCTTCTATCTGCTGTATGGAGACAAAACTGTAAGGTCACTGATAGGAAAAAGCCCTCCCTGGAGACTGTAAGGCCGACCTTTGGTCTGAACCCTCCAACCTCCCCTATCCAAAACTATCATTTGGAATAGTTTGAAAAAGACAAATTAAGTTTTTCTAATTCATGCAAGGACTGAAGAACCAAGAAAGAAAACTCTAAAAACTTACTACACATTTTCCCTTAAATTGACTTTCTGCATCACCTTGTTACCTACAGGTTAGGGTATTTGGTTTGCTTTAAGCACATTAGTATTAGGCAACAAAAGATAACAGGTCCATTTTAGTTTAACAGACATTTATTCTTTTAAACAACCTCTACACACAAAATAGATGGTTTAAGATTTGTGAATGGAATTTTGGTCTCAAGAGGTTTTGAGTCTGCTACATGTTTTCTGGAAATCATTTAACTGAGCTTTTTAAGACCCCTGAACAAAATAGGGAAGTTGGTTCAAGGAAATACACAGCAATTAGGTTTTGGAATCAAACTACCTATTCTGAAATCAGCAAACCCAGAATTTGAAATTGGGGCAATTCCTCTTCTGTATTTCCTATACTCTAATTCACCCTGGAAAACAGAATGTTGTAGTATGCTTTATCATTAAGGTAGACGCAGCTGAAAGCCTGGAAAGTTTGTGGAATAAGAATTTTGAAGGTAGTTTCAACAAGGAGAGAAAAACTAGTTACATCAGAAACCATGAATCTGTACTGATACCAACATGACTTTTCTCAATAGCCCTATGGGATCATGTGGGTTGGCCCAAGATGACTTGCTTCTAAGACTGGACTAAGTAATGAAGTACTTTTAAATAAAGCCAACCATATTTTTATCTTAAGGTAGTTAGTGTTCATAATGGTCACGAATTAACACTACAACAAACTCTAAGGCTAATAAATTCCCTTGTCTATCTTATGTTCAATTTCCATCAGTTTCAGTATATACCAGTTTACCAACTTTGCATGAAATTCAGTATTCTATAGATCCCATGGAGTCATGAGATTGAACAAGGAGCTGCTTCTCCTTTTGTGAATTTCAACGGGACTCTGGAGGCCAAGCCAATTTTGTTTAGGTTAACCAAGATTTCTTCCATTTGTAATATGACCAACTCTCTTACAACAGGATTGTTCAAATTTCCTAGTAATGGCGGCTTTAAATTTTTCTTCCAGAAGAATAAGTTTTGTGAATAATTAGGTTACATCTGAATACATGGGCCCTCTAGTCAACTTTCACTTTTCTGCATATGATTAGAATGGATTAGGATATCCTTTACATTTCCAAGCAAAATTCAATTTAAAATGTTTGTTCTTGCCAAACTCCAAAAAAGTAGCCCCTTGAGAATAAACCAGCAGAGCACTGCATTACCAAAATGCTGTAGGTTTCATCACATGCACCAACAAATCTACATTGCTAGTTCTGTACTCCTTTTTCACAGAACTTATTTAACACCTATTATACCAAACAGCATTTTAAACACTGACATATAAACTCCCTAATAAGATAAAGCAAAGACAAGTGTTTGACAAATAGGATACACCAATCACTTAAGTCTTCAAACATTATTGCACTTTAACTTTCATAATTTGACAATGCATTCATGAAACAATCTGCAGACTAGTTTTAACAAAGAACACTTTTAAGCAGACATGACTGTCCTAAATTGTTTATTAGGAAAGAATTTTACAAACATATTAGCGGTAACGATGAAGCTGGAGAGTATTGCGCCTCCTCCAAGCTGCACGACGAGAACCACCAATAGTGTGGTGGAACTTGTGGCCCTTTCCGAGGCCACGGCTCTTGCGGCCTGCAGACGTCAGCCCTCGCATCTCCCTGTGCTTGTGGACTGGTTTGGTGATCCACTGGGTGTCAGGATTCCGTCTGATAGCTTTATGGAATGGATCAATGAGAATAACCTCAAAGAATTTGTATGTGGAATCTTCACCAACCCAGTAAGAATTCAGGACTCTCAGAGCCCCACAGTGGCGTCCAGCTCGCTCCTAGAAGAGGAAAAAAGGCCTAAGGTCAACCTCCTACATTTCCCAGATAGCAAATTAAGCAGCAAGAATTCTCTTTAGTTCACTACTAGACAAGTGACTGAGGTGTGACCACTACAATATAAGGTAAACTTACTATTCCCTATTATACCCACTCCGTAAGTAAGGCATGGATGTTAAAGACTACCTGGCTAACAAAATTTCAAATTCTGGAACCTCGTCTTCTTCTAATAGAGAGGTCAGCAAATTTTTATAGAAAACCTTAATTATCATGTTTTAGGCTGTGCAGGCCGCAATGATCTTTTTTTTGGGCAGTCTTCGCCTTTTAATAACAAAAACATCTTTAGACCATAGAAGGCAACAGTCCATTGTTCACAAACCACTACAACAGAGCAAAGCTTAATTTACTAACCCAGAAAAACAATTTATACCTGACCACAGAAAATTAGCAATACAGAAAAATGCAGCTTTTATAGAGTGAGGGACAAAATTTACTGCCCTTCAAAAGCTTAGGTTCCAGAGGTTCACACTAATCATAGAACAAAATTCCAATATCTATGATCAAACATAGATTAACAACAAAGATGGACAAAGTCTCTTGACAGCAACTCTTTACCAAGAGTAGTATCACAACCCTCATTTCGAACACAACAGGGCTCACCTAGGCAAATTAACAATCAGAAAAGTTGCTCAAATCCTTCATCTCCAGGTGGCAACCAAAATAACTGCTTCTCAAAAACCACCTACCTCAGCAACAGATTGAAGGCTTCGAGCAAACTTTAGCTGGTTAACACCGTGATGGACAGGCTTGCCATAGGTCGCACCCTTAGGAACTGGGCGTTTGCGGCCACCACGGCGGACACGAATCCGATATATGACATAACCTATAAACAAAAAATATGGTGGTCTCAAAGTGGATGGTTCAGTGACTTGTCACTATTGCTCCCACATCAAAATTATTTCAGATCATAAGTAAAATACTGTTTAACTGATGTAAGTAAAATTAATACCAGTTTGAGGCTTACAGGGAGATTGATCAACTTTTCATTTCCACTCTATTAACAATCGTTTGCAGTTATTTACTGATCCACTGCTAGCTTAATACAGTTTCTGCCAAAGCCCTATTGAGGCGATAGTAGCTTTTTTATCAATGGTTTCCAACTTTTCCCGGGGAATATAATTTTATCCAGGCACCCACGCAGAAACCACTCACCTTGCTTAGCCTTGTATCCCAGCCTGCGCGCTTTATCCGGCCGGGTGGGGCGGGGGGCCCTGTGGAGTGCAGAAAGCTGGCGATACTGCCAGCAGCGCACCCTAAGAAGAAAGCGCATGACATCGGACTGCTTCTTCCTCCACAGCTCCTGGATGTACTTGTAAGCACCCATCTTGGCTTACCTTTGAGACAAAACTGGGTATTAAATTATAGCATCCATTTAAGGTATAAGACTCCGTCCGTCCATCTTAGTTCCCTACCAACCACAAAGAAACCAATGAAAATGGCTCTGCACGAACTGAGGGGGATAGTCAGCCCAACCCCCACCTTTGCGCCCACGGATAGCAGCGCCCAGTCACCTCTGCGACCCCAGCGAAAAGCACCGTAGGGAGGCACTCGGGACATTTTTTGCTAGACAAATGAATGGAGCTAGACTTAGGCCCTGATTGCGGCCGGCAGAGTCCCCGAAGGCTGCGCCCTGCCTGTAAATACATCTCGCCGACACCACGGGGGAAAATGCCGCCGCCGCCGCTTTACTCTCCAGGAAAAAAACACTTACTCCATCCAACCCGCCCAGCTCGCTTTAGGAAGCCCTAGACCCAACCTATTCCTCAACCCCACGCCTCCTTTTCCTTCATGCTCTGGGCCCAGCTCGATTTCCCGCCGCCATCACATTATTCCCCAGCCCACCCCGGGGCCCTCTCCACAACCGCGCTGTCCCGCATCCTGACCAAACTCGCGCCGCGTAGGAGGAAGGAGAAGCTCCGGAGACGCAGGGTCCCCGAGACTGGATGGCCCAGGCGAACGGAGATGAGCGGCGGATGGAGTAGCGAAAATCCCCTACAAAGCCTACCTGATGGCTGCGGCCAGACGGAAAGGAAGAGCCTTTCTCCCACAATCCTTTTTGGGCTCCTCCCCTAATTCAGAGAAACTCTTTCCGGTAGAAAGCTGCGGCCGCTCAGAGCCTCACGGGACATGTAGTTCCGGCAGAGAGCCTTGTGGGCGGAGTTCCGTCGGGATTGGACGCAGCTTTCCCTATTGTCCCGCCCCCTGCTCTTCCTGGCGGCAGTAGGTAGCGAGGCCTCCGCGGCTACTGTCCAAGACGGTCCCGCTGCCGGGCGAGGGAAGTTGGAGGCGGTGCTCCAGGGGCTGAAACCCGCCGTAGAGCTAGCTGCGCAGTCAGCGTGCCGCTGTCTTCTGCCGAGTGTACAGGTCTGTGTAATGAGGTTTACGGGTCGGCTTCACGCACTGCAGGCTCCTCACTTGAGGTGTCGCTGCGGGGAACGCTGTCCTCTTTCTCCCCCGGGATGGATGCAGTAATCTGGAGACCCGAGGCGGTTCTGACAAACCCCTGCGACGGTGCCGCCAAATAAAACGTTAGTGGTGCAGGGGCTACGGGAGTCGGGGCCTTCGCACTGTATCTCCCTCTCTCTCTCTCCCAGGCCCCCGGATCAATTCTGGTTTTAGCTCTGGTGGGCCCAGCTCCAAGCGATTTTTCCCTAAAAAGGATCCGGGGATAGGGGTAGCGTGGGCGGCTCCGTGCCTTTCCTGCGCACGGATTTGGTTCAAGTATTGCTACGTTAGAACCACAGTTTTTTAGGAAAGCGAAATATTTATTTATTGCAACTGGTTGGCAGTTGCGAGTATTTGGGAAGAAATGCCGAGAAAATGCTGGCATTTTGTGTTGTGTTCTTTATTGAAAAATGGTTTACTAGCTTTTTTGGGTCTCCAGAATATTTTCATTTTCGGTAGTCGTGGGGTTTAATTCTACACATTCTAAGTTTAAGTGTGGCCAAGGTTTAAGAGAATCATATTGACCTTCTAAATCATTAGCGGTGTTGGTTATTC